GAATGATTAAAAGCCTGCTTCTGTGTACCAACTATTTTTATGTTACTGAAACTCTTTGCCACACTGCCACTAAGTCCAGGTTCATGTGAACGTTCGGCATCTGCTCTTCGCCGGTTGAATAATTACTTGAGGTATATACAAACCGAAGAAAGACTAAGTGCTCTAGCTTTAATACATAATCATTATGACACTGCTATCAACATTGAAACTATATGTAAGTTATTTGTGGAAAAGCATCTCAGAAGAATGGAGCATGCTAACATGTTATTTCATTAGTTCATACATGTATGTATATGATAGCCAATGATTGAAATATCTAATCTATTACTGTTGTACAGAGTTGTTTAAATTAGTAATATAATTTAACAATTAATAACTACTCTGCATGTAGATAGTACAATACTTTACCATAATAAACTTACGTATTTATGCTAATTTAAGTCTAGCTCCCCATGCAGTGTTACAACAGAATGATGATTTGTTGACTTTTCATTGGATGTTTGTGCATTTTATGTAAGCAGCCATGCAATTGTTTAAGCTATATTTCATACAAAATTACCTCCAGATTTAATCTCATAGCACCTATTAAAAAAATAGAAATTATGGGGGCATGCCCCCAGACCCCCATAGCATTAGAATGCTTTGTATGGTCATTGTGCTTCGGGCAATATGTGTTGGGTTTTCATATCACAAATTAGAAACCCCTTTCAAACATTCTGAGTACGTGCCTCATTATTCAGTAGTGGCGAAGCAGCAAGCTAATTTTATAGCTCCCAAGCGGATAGAGTAACCAGAGGGATGTTTAATAATGTCAACCACATCATAACTAGCATCATATGCTGAAACAACTAGCGACGGTTACTGGAACTTACTTGTGGTTGAAATTTAAAATGTGGGAAAAAAGCTTCTCTCAAATATGTTAATATCTATCTCTCGCCCACAGTATTATTTATATAAGTATGTTTTGAAGATTGTTATGGTGAGTTTTATATCTAGACTGACTTTGAATAAATCTTGCAACATTTCTTCTAGATACCAGTCATGATCTGACTGCTCAAGTTAGAAAATTGGAACGTTTAGTTCATCAGCTGGAAAATCAGGCAAGTTTACCCGATTATTATCTTTATTTAATATATACTGCGTTCAATTATAGATGAGCATTGTTGAATTATATTGCTTTGTTGTTTTTTTTTATATCTCCCTGTTGAATTTATTTTCCTATTTTCTGGAAAAACTAAAGCACAGTTTTCTTGAGTCGGATAAAAATTTCTTTATCCAAAAATCCAAACTCGTGGTTTCCCACAAAATCTGTTTTGCTTTTCTTGTATGGCCGTTGTTGTTATTCTCTATGTTTTGTTGTTGTTGTTTTTTAGTGGGAGGTAGATGATTAGCCTGGAAAATTTTACAGCCTCTGTAACAAGTTTCTTAAATCTTAGCAGATTTATAGCACTTTTTTGGGCCCGGCATGGCCAGGTGGTTAGGGCACTCGACTCGCAATCTGCGGGTTCGATTCCCCGTCCCACCAAACATGCTCGCCCTTTCAGCCGTGGGGGCGTTATAATGT